AACTGTGAAAGTTGCAAGACTCTTCATCTATCTGGAGACAGGACCAAAGAGAGGACCAGTGGGGTCCTCTCAGAGGGTGGTTCTCTTAGTACAGGTCTCCTTTCAGATCTCCTTCCCTGGGCTTTACACAGAATGCTTGTGTATGTAACATCGGGCTCTTTATATTGGCTGTGAGAGCACCCAGAGCATTATGGGAACAAGAAGCATTTGAGCAGGAGTCCAAGGTACTATGGGAATAAAAAGCACCATGCTGGGCCACATATTATCTGTTAAGTGCTATGTCTACCACTTTTGTGTGTTCTGGGGCTTGAACTCAGGTCCTGGGCACTGTCCTTTAGCTTTTTTGCTCAAGGCTATCACACTACCACTTGAGCCACATCTCCACTTCCAACGTTTTGGTGCTTAATTGGAGATAAAAGTCTCACAGTTTCTTGCCTAGGTTGGCTTTCAACCACAATCCTCAGATCTCAGCCTCCTGCACAGTTAGGATTACAGGCATGAGCCACCAGAGCTTGGCCATATTTTCAGTTTGTTTACAAAGTTCGCAGATGAGCTCACACTGCAGCCTGAACGAGGAGCCACAGAGGTCTGATCACAGACACCAACTGAAAACCCAAGGAGGGAGAATCTACAAGTCATTTTTCTTCTAAGTTTCAAGAAACTGACAGTTCCTCAGCCATGCCCCCAGGGACACAAGTGGCACACAAGAGAGGAAAGCCTGAAGCACCCTGGATCCACTGTACCCCTAAAACGAGTCAGGGAGAGAAAGGAAGAGGCAAGTTCTTAAGCAAAAGTGCTCAAGGTTAATGCTATACTACTTGAACCCCAGCTCTGCTCTGGCCTTTTTAGTGGCTAATTGGAGATAAGAGTCACATGGATTTTCTTGCCTTGGTTGGCTTCCAACCATGTTCCTCAGATCTCAGCCTCAGCTTCGTGAGTAGCTAGAATTACAGGTGTGAGCCACCAGCACCAGGTCTACATTCTATTGATTGATTGATTTTGTGGGTCATGGGGCTTGAACTCTGGGTCTGGGTGCTGTCCTGAGCTCTTCAGCTCAAGGTGAGGACTTTACCAATGGAGCCACAGTACCACTTTTGGTTTTCTGGTGGTTCATTGGAAATAAGAGTCTCATAGACTTTCCTGCCCAGGCTGGCTTTGAACTGCAATCCTCAGATCTCAGCCTCCTGAATAGCTAGGATTTCAGGCATGAGCCATTGGCACCCAGCATCTACATTCTTTTTTTTTTTTTTTTAATGTCAAGGCAATCAGCTTGTGTGTTGTCATTGATTGGGTACTCCGGGTGGGTTCCAGCCCTGGTCTAGGAGGAATGTGGTGGTGTGCAGTCATCACTTTATAAATATTGATGAAACTTGCTAAAACTGTTTGAAAGGAAACTTTATCCAAAGGAGTGGTTTGGAATGCAGTTGTTTCTTTTCAATGTGCTTCAGATCTTTGAAGCGCTGGCAATGAAATCCCAAGGGTCAAGAAGGGCGGGCTAAACTTTGAACCAAAGGTTGGCTCATGATGGAGACATCAGTGATCCCATAGAGGCGTGGCTGGCAGGGAGGGTGGTGCCTGGTATTACAACTGGCACACCCAATACTTATCCTCCAGCTGAGACAAATATTAAGTAACACAGTGTCTCCAAAGCAGAGGAGTGCTGAGCTGCAGGTCACCCTGGGGACCCTTTTATTGCAATGATAGGAGAGAAGAAACAGCTGTGTTGCAACAACACATGGATGGATGGAGAAGCTTCCTTCAGCCTGACACAAGCTGCAGGGTCAATGGCCAGAGGGGAAGGAGGCCGTGCCTTAGATGGTTTAGTTCCACAGTGGCCTGCTCCAGCATTTGTTTGTTTTCCTTTCCTTTTTCTTTTCTTAGCTGCTCATTTAAAGTTAGGGTCAAGCTAGGGCTTGGTGGTTCAAACCTGTAATCCTAGCTACAAAGCAGGCTGAGATTGAGCCAGAATGGTTGCAGGCCAGCCCAGGCAGGAAAGACTCATCTCCAATTATCCACCCACCAAAAAGCCAGAAGTAGAGCTGTGGCTCAACTTGGCACTTCCAATCTTGAGAGAATAAGCAGATGGACCGGACCCAGTCCCATTTCTGGCATTCAATCAATCAACAAAGCAAACAAACAAATAAAATAGACCTTCAGAGAGGAGTTTTTTTTTTTTTTGTTGTTGTTGTTTGTGTCAGTCATGGGCCTGAACTCTGGGCCTGGTAGCTGTCCCTTAGCTCTTCAGCTCAAGGTTAACACTCTACCACTTGAGCCACAGTGCCACTTCTGTTTTTTTCTGCTTATGTGGTGCTTAGGAATTGAACCCAGGGCCTCATGCATGCAAGGTAAGCACTCTAGCACTGAGCCACCTTCCCAGCCCTAAAGAGGAGACTTTTATTCACGTTTTCAAAAAGTATCTTCCAGCCAGGCATCCACTGGCTTATGCCTGTAATCCTAGCTACTCAGGAGGCTGAGATCTGAGGATCGCCAATTCAAAGTCAGCCCAGTTAGGAAAGTCCCTCAGACTCTTCAATAAATTACTCAAAAAAGCTGGAAGTGGTGCTATGGCTTATGTGGTAGAGTGCTAGCCTTGAACACAAAGAGGCTCAAGAACAGCTCCAAGGCCCTGAGTTGAAGCCCAATGACCGGCCAAACAAGTTCATAGCTTTTTACAATGAAATTCCATGGGAGTTTCTTTCTTTCTTTTTTTTTTTTGTCAGTTGCGGGGCCTGAACTCTGGGCCTGGGTGGGCGCTGTCCCTCAGCTCTTCAGCTCAAGGCTAGCGCTCTACCACTTGAACCACAGCGGTACTTCCAGCTTTTTCTGCTTATGTGGTGCTGAGAAATCGAACCCAGGGCCTCATGCACTGTACACAGAGCCACCTTCCCAGCCCCTCCATGGGGTTTCTTAAGAAAATCCTCTAACATTCTATTTCCATTCTGATTCCAGGTCCCAAAAAATAACCTTAGGGGTCTGGGAAGGTGGCTCAGTGGTAGAGTGCTTGCCTTACATGCATGAGGCCCTGGGTTTGATTCCTCAGCACCACATAAGCAGAAAAAGCCAGAAGTGGCGCTGTGGCTCAAATGTTAGAGTGATAGCCTTGAGCTAAAGAGCTAAGGGACAGCACCCAGGCTCAGAGTTCAAGCTCCACTACGGACTACGATGACGACAACAACAACAACAATAACAACAAAACCCTCAGAATTTTAGGCTTCAAACAAAAATAGGAGCTAGATACCAGTGGCTTACAGCTGTAATTCTATCTAGTCAGGAGACTGAGATCTGAGGATTGTGGTTCAAAGCCACCCCATGTAGGAAAGTCTGTGAGACTCTTATTTCCAAACTAACTGCCAAGAAACAAAACAAAACTGGAAATGGTACTTTTTTTTTTTTTTTTTTTGCCAGTCCTGGGGCTTGAACTCAGGGCCTGGGACTGTCCCTAAACTTCTTTTGCTCAAGGTTAGCACTCTACCACTTGAGCCACAGCACCATTTCTGGCCTTTTTTGTCTATGTAGTACTGAGGAATTGCACGGTGGGCAAACACTCTACCACTAAGCCACTTTCCCAGTCTGTGGTGCCATATCTTTGAGCAAAAGAACTCAAGGACAACACTAAAGCCCTGAATTCCAGGCTCAGGACACACTCACACACACACACACACACACACACACACACACACACACACACACACACATTCACACATCAGATCTCAGCTCCTGAATAGCTATGATCACAGGCTTAAGCCTCCATACCTGGCTGTATGATTTTTAGTAAGTATAAAAAGCACCAGACTAGCTGGGTGCTGGTGGCTCACGCCTGTAATCCTAGCTAGTCAGGAGGCTGAAATCTGAGGATCAAGGTTCAAAGCCAGTCTGGGCAGGAAAGTCTGTGAGATTCTTATCTTCAATAAACCACTCAGGCAACCGGAAGTGGCGCTGTGGCTCAAGTGGTAGAGTGCTCGCCTTGAGCTGAAGAGCTGAGGGACAGCACCCAGGCCCAGAGTTCAAGCCCCGCAAACCAACTGACAGAAGAAAAAATCAAAACAAAACAAAACAAAAACCCAGACTTTATTAAGAACCGTGTAGGAAGCAACAAAAGAGTTAAACTTCCTTCTGTATGTAAATGATGCATTACAAAGCACTGGGAGGCAGAGGGGCTAGCCACCTAAAACTACCCTCTCCTTTGAAATGGTAAAAACTCCACAATCTGTGAATGGTTAGAGAGGAGTGAGAAAGGCCTACAGCTCACCTATTGTCCCTAAATTTCGGGTAGGTTGTGACAAGTCTGCATTTTAGAAAAAGAAATAGTATGCATTGTGGCCACCCAGAATCACTGCCTAGGGGTTGGGGTATCTAGGGTTCCTCCCCCAGCTAGGAGAACAGGAAATGTTTCTCTCTTTGTTATACTACTACACTTAATTTGTGGTAAAACTTTCACCTTGCAAAACTCCTTTTTGCCAGACATCTTGAAATTCTTTTCATAGGTCCATCTCAAGGATCTGTGGTTTGGGGTGGAAAGTGGGAAGCTAGGAGTGTTCCAATCACACTACTGACATTGGGCCTTGAACTCAGGACCTGCTTGCTGACTCACCTGGAATACACCACCGAAGTCAAGCCTCCAGTTCACACAAGCTCTAACACAGCTGAGGGTGGAGAGATCTTTTGGAAACGACTACTTTCGGGAGTTAAAACTTCACCAGATTAGGGAGGAAATCTCATGGTTTCGAGGAAGTGAGGGCGGAGGCTGTAGTGCGAACTGGTCGATGATTGGCTGCTTTGAAGCTCTATGCTAATTAATATGAAAGTGTGAAGTGTCTTCAAAAAACCTTTAAGTGTTCAAATTGATCCATAAATATGGTCATCAAAGATGTATTTGAAAATATGTGTAAACATATATTTGAACAAATAATCTAATTAAAAAAAGAAAAGAAAAAGAAACTCACCATCAGTAGAATGTGTGTGAATTTCATCCACTAAGGAAGCACTAGGGGGTGTTTGTTAAGACTATACTTTCAGGGATCATTTCTATAGTTCGTTACTAGAGAAATCTCGCTGATCGTGTAGAGCACCGGAAACCACGAGGAAGAGGTACAGTGTTCTCTCCTGAGCGTGAAGCCGGCATTTGGTGTTGTCTTAAGGCATCTGCCACTTGCCATTGATGATCGTTCCTCTTCTCCTTTGTGAGAAGTGAGAGGGGGAGGACACATTCTGAGTGGTTTTCTTTATCCTATGTACAACGGAAGAGTTGTAATATAGTGGTTAGTTCATTCCAGCTTTGCAGGTTAAGGTTATTACATCTTCTATATTAGCGAGGATGCAGGTTAGCAATGTGCTTTAGTGGGGAATGTCTAACTGGTAAGTATGACACCGTAGGTTAAATTTCTTAATACCACTCGCGCTGTAGAACTATACACAGAAAGCCGGCAAGGTAGCAGATGGCCTAAAGGCTTCATTCAGTTCATTGAGTTTAGCAACTAGGGAGTTAGGCTAATTTTTATTGCTGGGGTGTTTTTGTTTTTGTTTAAAGGAAAAAGCAGCCACTATGCTAATTAATATGAAAGTGTGAAGTGTCTTCAAAAAACCTTTAAGTGTTCAAATTGATCCATAAATATGGTCATCAAAGATGTATTTGAAAATATGTGTAAACATATATTTGAACAAATAATCTAATTAAAAAAAGAAAAGAAAAAGAAACTCACCATCAGTAGAATGTGTGTGAATTTCATCCACTAAGGAAGCACTAGGGGGTGTTTGTTAAGACTATACTTTCAGGGATCATTTCTATAGTTCGTTACTAGAGAAATCTCGCTGATCGTGTAGAGCACCGGAAACCACGAGGAAGAGGTACAGTGTTCTCTCCTGAGCGTGAAGCCGGCATTTGGTGTTGTCTTAAGGCATCTGCCACTTGCCATTGATGATCGTTCCTCTTCTCCTTTGTGAGAAGTGAGAGGGGGAGGACACATTCTGAGTGGTTTTCTTTATCCTATGTACAACGGAAGAGTTGTAATATAGTGGTTAGTTCATTCCAGCTTTGCAGGTTAAGGTTATTACATCTTCTATATTAGCGAGGATGCAGGTTAGCAATGTGCTTTAGTGGGGAATGTCTAACTGGTAAGTATGACACCGTAGGTTAAATTTCTTAATACCACTCGCGCTGTAGAACTATACACAGAAAGCCGGCAAGGTAGCAGATGGCCTAAAGGCTTCATTCAGTTCATTGAGTTTAGCAACTAGGGAGTTAGGCTAATTTTTATTGCTGGGGTGTTTTTGTTTTTGTTTAAAGGAAAAAGCAGCCATTTGCAGTCTCCTCAAAACTGGAAACAATATTTGAAGCTGGAGTAGTAGATTTTTCTTCTATTCTGTGACTTGAGCTCAGTTCCACTTTTCAAGCCACAGAGCCACTTCCGGTTTTCTGGTGGTGAAAGTCTCATGGACTTTCTTGCCTGTGCTGGCTTTGACCTGTGATTCTCAGATCTCAGTCTCCTTAATAGCTAGGGTTACAGGTGTGACCCACCGGTGCACAGCAGGAATAGGTTGTTAAATCTATTTTTTCTAGAATCTTTTCAAGGTTTAATTCCTTATTCCAGTCACAAGGGTATATACCCACAACTCCCTGTACTCAGGAGGCAGGTGACAAGTTCCAGCCCTGGAATTCACAATTCCATTAGATTGAACTAACTCTCAAATGTTTAAAATCGTGAAAACTTCAAATCTCACGAAGAAAAGTAGTTGGTTATGTGTCCTTTTATGTTGTCATATATCTCAAGACAACCCTATTTAAATGTTTTTAAAAGCATTTTTAAAAATGATTTTCCCCCAGAATTAAATTTTAGAGGCATTGTATTTTTGGATCTGAACATCTGGGGTTGTATTCATGCTTGTCAGCCAGTGATCAGTAAACAAGAGCCCTTCTTCCTTTGCTCCTGTTGAAATAACTTTCAACTGGGTATAATCCAGACTACTCAGGAGGCTGAGATTTTAGGATCGTGGCTCGAAGCCAGCCCTGGCAGGATTGTGTACAAGACTCTTCTCCCCAATTAACCACCAAAAAGTGGGAAAAGGAGATGTGTCTCAGGTAGTAGAGTACTAGCCTTTAGCATAAAAGCTCAGGGGCAAAATTCAAGGTTTAAGTTTAATCCCCAGGACCAGAATTTTTAAGACGAGAGCGAGAGAAACAAAGATGTGTCTGCCATATTGACGGTCTAAACACAAGGCTCTGTATTCTTACCCACATGCATTACTGACATGATCAAAGGTCCGAACATTTTCGGTGTCAGGTTAAAGTCCAAGGTTAACAGTCTTCTCTTCCTTACATATCAGTAGTAGCTATTTGGTTTTGTAAAAACAAAGTCATTGGTAATGTTTTTGCAGGTGGTCGGATGTCTGTTATTTAAGGGTAAGATGAGCTTGGTGATGAGAACCTAACACTGGCTTCGGTTTATTCTTCGCAGGAAGCCCGTTTTCCCTCATTCAATCTTGTTGGTCAAAATGTAGTGAAGTCCATAAAACCCAACTCAGGATGAGAAATACGACATCCATCCCTGCGTGCTTGTAGAGATTTATGGATGCTTTCAGGGGCAGGCAGGAGAGATGACAGATTTCATCTAATCCCCCGTGCAAAGTTGACCTCCAGCTCCATTCCCTGGAGGAGCACATAAAGCCTGCACAGGGGAAGTGAAATGCTCCAGCGGGGAGACCAGCACAGGGAGACCCCAGCTCTGGGATGGGCAGGCCCACACAGGCATTCCACCTGCATTAGATAAGGGAACAATGGGGGGGGGGCAGGGGGAAGAGAAACAACCAATCCTTGGGGTTGGAGGCGTGGCTCAGTAGAGCACCAGCCAATGAGCAAAGGGTCAGGTACTGTGTTCAAGTCCTGATCTTCCCGTTCTGGTCTGTCAGCAGAAAGGGAAGAAAACATGTGGTGAAGTTCTTTAAGAAGCAGCTGGCCCAGTCCTACTTTTCTCTCCTCCCTCCCGCTGTGACGCTCTGATCCATCTAATCAATATAGAATAGATTTGTTTAGGGCTGGAGATGTGGTTTAGTGGTAGAGTGCTTGCCTATCAGGCATACCACATAAAGAGAAAAAGCTGGAAGTGGCGCTGTGGCACAAGTGGTAGAGTGCTAGCCTTGAGCAAAAGAAGTTCAGGGACAGTGCCCAGGCCCTGAGTTCAAGCCTCAGGTCTGGGGGGGTGGGGGGAAGATTTCTTTAAACTCAGGGTTCAGAAGGCTGGGTAGTCCAAGAGCATCTGCTCTGTCTCTGATGACATAAACAAGGCAACAGTGGCTCATGCCTGTAACCCTAGCTACTCAAGATGCTGAGATCTGAGGATTGTAGTTAGAAGCCAGCCCAAGTGGAAAATTAACCACCAAAAAACTGCAGTGGAGGTATGGCTTAAGTTGTAGAGTGCCAGCCTTAAGCAGAAAAATTAAGGAACGGTTTACAGACTATGAGTTCAAGCCCTAAGTCCAGCAACAAAAAGAAAGAAAGGCAAAAAGAAAGAGAAAGGAAAAGGAAGGAGGGAAAAAGGGAGGAAGGAAGGAAGATCTTGACATGTCACAACAGTGAAGGAGTACCATGTTTAGACTGAGCAAGGTTTATAAGATGCTTCCTTTTATTTCTTTTTGTATTATTTATTTTTGTCAGTCATAGGATTACAAGATGCTTTTATTTATTTATTTATTTTTTTGGTCGGTCATAGGGCTTGAACTCTGGGCCTGGGCACTGTCCCTCAGCTCTTCAGCTCAAGGCGAGCGCTCTACCACTTGAGCTACAGCGCCACTTCCGGTTTTCCGGTGGTTTATTGGAGATAGGAGTCTCAAGGTATCTCCTGCCCGGGCTGGCTTTGAACCGCGATCCTCAGATCTCAGCCTCCTGAGTAGCTAGGATTACAGGCGTGAGCCACCAGCGTCCGGCAAATGAATAGCAGGGTACATTGAGTTCTCTGCCAGTTTTGTTTTGTTTTGTTTTTTGGTTGGTCATGGGGCTTGAACTCTGGGCTTGGGCGCTGTCCCTGTGCTCTTCAGCTCAAGGCGAGTGCTCTACTGCTTAAACCACAGCGCCACTTCCTTATTTATTTTTTGTTGGTGGTGGGACTTGAACTTGAACTCTGGGACTGGCTGCTGTCCTTCAGCTCTTCAGTTCAAGGCTAGTGCTCTACCACTTCTGGTTTTCTGGTGGTTAGTTGGGGATAAGAGTCTCACAGACATTCCTGCCTGGGCTGGCTTTGAACTGCGATCCTCAGATCTCAGCCTCCTGAGTAGCTAATATTACAGACAGGCTTGAGCCACTGGTGCCTGGAAGATGCTTCCTTTTATAAAGCCATCATTGTAGGGTCTCTACACTCTTGGCTTCAGCTAATCTAATTAACTTCCAAAGGCCCACCTCCAAATCTCATTATCATATGAATTTGGGGATTAAGTTTTAACTATAGCATTTGGTTTGGATATAGGCATTCTTCCTTTTGGCTCATGTACTAAGCTTTCCTAAACAAAATACCACAGATTGAGGGAGGAAACCATAGTAATTTATGTTCTTACAGTTCTGGAAGCTGGAAGACCAGGATCAAGGTGTCTAGGCACTGTCCCTGAACCTTTTTGTGCTCAAGTCTAGTACTCTACCACTTGAGCCACAGTGGCACTTCCAGCTTTTTCTGAGTACTTTATTGGAGATAAGAGTCTTATAGACTTTCTTGCCTGAGCTGATTTTGAACTGCAATCCTCAGATTTCAGCCTCTTGAGTAACTAGAATTACAGGTGTGAGCCACCAGCGCCTAGCTCCCATCATCTATTAGGATGCCAAGATGGCGGTGAGGACCCACTATCGATATTTCAAAGAAGTCAACAGTTTGTTTTTCTGCTAAGGCCTGTCTTCTTGAAAAGCCATGTTCTTGCTATGTCTTCACTGGCTCCTTCTCTGTGAACATCTGTAGATTTCAGGTGCCTCTTCTTCATAGAAGGACACCAGTCCTATCAGAAGTCCCAGCTGTGAGTCTTAATTTCCTCATAAGTACATACTTAAAATTCTGTCTCCAAATACAGTCACCTCAGGATTAGGATGTCAGTATAGGAATCTGAGCTGGGAGTTGGTGGCTCACACCTGAAATCCTAGCTGCTCAGGAGGCTGAGATTTGAGGATCGCAGTTGAAAGCCAGCCCAGCAGGAAAGTCCGTGAAACTCTTATTTCCAATAAACTACTCAGAAAAAGCCAGGAATGG